TGACCTATCTCTAATCAGCATGGTCATATTTGATATTGTCGCAGTAGAATAACAGTGCAAAATTTGGTCCAAATATTACATTCACTCACCATTTGTTCCTGTTTCACTTCAGCTTGAGCATAGGCTGGTGTTCCTGGAGTGGCTGGAAGGCCATTCACAGGAGGAGATGCAGCAGGAGGTTGAACCGCAGGGTAGATATCATTTGAATTAGATGCCTTTGGCCATGGTTTCTGCTCAATGTCTGAAGGCTTGAACTTTTTGACTGGATAATTTAACCTAGAAAAACAAATGATCCTTACAAATACTGTATTTTTAACATGACACTACTATAAATAAAAATGTTCCATTTCTCCACAGAGGGTTGCAGGAGTCTTTTCTACAACCCCCATTCAGGTATCAAAATGAAGTTAATCTTGCGAGGAAAAGATAGCAGTCAGCAAACCTCTCATTGAGCCACTCCTTTAAGCCTCGCTTGCTAGCATTTCACCACCAACACACTCACCACACATCAAGCTGCGAGTAGTCATAAAGGTTGTCCGAGAGCGCCTCGTCCTCATGCATGAGGTGCTCGTACTCCTTGGCCGTGAGCACGGGCCGCTTGAGTGTCAGGGGCTGGTGTTCGGGAGGCCCTGAGGGCGGTTGGGCCGGGGCGGGGCCCGGGGGGCCCGGCGGCGCACTCGGCGGCCCACCCGTCATGCCCGAGTTGTCCACGCTCGACACGGACACGGGGCCCTGGTAGGGCGAGTACACCTGGTTCGAGACGGACGACACGGACTTGGGCCCGTGTGAGTCCAGAGGCGTGTGCGCGGGCGTGCCGGGCCCGGGGGCGGGCGGAGGCGTGGCGGGTACCGACAACTGCCCCGCCACGGAGCTGGCTGAGGGCTGCGGCGACAGCGTGGGCATGGTGGGCTCCGCGGGCGGCACGGACGCCGGCTGCACCGAGTTGGGGTTCGGCAGCGGCGAGGGCGCCGCGGACTGCGGGGACCTCTCGGGCATCGGCGTGGTGTGTCCAGCGCCACAGGGCATCCGGCTGGAAAGGCAGATCAGCATTCACAAATCAGTCCGGGGCTGCAAGGAGACCAAACTGGCCAAAACTTCAAGGGAAGATCATGAGCATGAGAGGGCGAACCAGCTTGTGCATGACTTTAACCAAACGAGAGAATAGTTTAACCTCATCGGGATTGATGTGGTTTGCCTCCAAGGACTAAAACCTTGGCAAGCTGTTCAAAGAGCTTCCCATTACCATAAGTGCATACCACCAAAAAAATGAAAAGACAAATTACATATGTTAGTAAAATGGGGAGCACATGTTAAGGGAGATAGTCTGCCTCATGACGCAGAAGCTTGCTTGTTAACAATGACCATGTGGAAACCTGGGAATACACAACACTTGCAGAAAAATTAAAAGAGGGATGGTACAGAAAGCACACCACATTGACAAAATCCGCATTCAAGACACATACACATCACAGCTATCCTCAGATTTCCACATGCTTAGTTATACAAACATTCTTAAGTCAAGCGCTCATGCAAGGACTATCAAGATGAGGTAGAGTAAAAAAAATATACCTATATTTAGTTTCTCTACCTTGAAAATGTGCCAGGTTTCTTTTAAATTTCTTGGTTTATTTTTCTCTGACAGAAAGTGAACCTAATTTGGGATGATTTCTCTGTTAAATCAGTTAGTGGTCATGCAAGGTATGCAAGGTGGAGCGTTAGACTGAGCAGAGTGTGTGCAGACTGTGCGGTACAAACCTGACAGGCTTGGCAGGCTGAATGTGCCGTGGGGGCGCCCTTTGATGGAATGGAATCAGAGACCTGCTGCCGGGGCCCCCTTTGCCCTCAACTTGTCTACACCTGCAAGGCGGCAAACCACTACTATCAAGTTGCCGCCATAACAGCCTACATTCCAACCATTATCACCATTTGTTCAACTAAGTATACAACAAACCAATCCAACAAAAATGGTGTTGGATACCTTGGTAAAGACACCTTGAATAATAGCAAAAAATTATCCAGTGTAAAATTAACAAAGGATAGAGGTATAAAAAAAAAATGCCTTGTTGTAACATTGGTTGAACAAATGAGGAGCTCACTCCCTCACTACTTGAAACAAAGAGCTGCGCTATTCCCTCAAATCCAACCAAAATATTTCTTGTAACACAAACATTAACTATATTGATATGTGTGACAATGTGCTGCAATTATAGAAAGTTTCACTCAGTGCATTTAACACACATCAAAAAGTGCATGAAACAGAATGACAGAACAAACATTTCGGGGCCACTTAAATTAAATCAGAAGTTTGTCTCAGAAGCACACTGAATTATATTCAGTCACATCAAGAATTCTCGTTCAAGTTTGGTCAAATTTATAGCAAGAGAATAGATCACACAGCAGGTATACACCATATGAACACAATAGCAGCAACAGGAAAATCATAATAATGAGAGACCAAAAACTATAATCCTAAAGTACATGGAAAATAATTGGCAAAAAAGGACATGTTTTAAAAACTAAAGTTTCATGAGTTGAAGTAAAATAATATATTAGCAAGATCTAATAATGCTATACCATGCTCAAATCATTACAGCTGAAAATTGATTTTATAAATGCAATTACAAAGCTCATATTCATATGCAACAGCAAGCTCAAGGAAATTTTAAAGTTTCAATTGCATGCTTTTGCAATATAAAATAAGTAATTTTTGAAAAGTGGATCATGCATACAAAGTATCTACCTTCATGGTTAAAAATAAGAGATCAAAAAGCACTGTCAACAAAGATCTCAGAGTATATGATTTCCTTGTTGTTAAATTAAAAACACAAAGGATGTTCAAACTTGTGCAAGTTTAGTAATGGGTACGTACTTGGAACAGGAGCATGGCAATTTCCTTGTTGGATCAACAAAGTCCCAATGACCTGGTGGCACGTCTGACGGATCAGAGGGTGGTGACAGCATACTTTCTTGCCAGGTAATATCAGCAAGGTTTGGAGGTGAGGGTGGTTCTTGCTTGACCCATGAGGTGGCAGATGATTGCTGCCGTAAACAAGGTGATTCAACTGGTGGAACAGGACCTTAAAAGTAAGACAAAGAAATTATATTACAGAATATAATTTTAAAAAAAGTTGAAGTTAAGGGAAATGAGAATCAATGACATACTTGGCTCTTCAGAAGACAGACCAGCTGCCTTGGGAGGATTCTGTGCAAGGTTGTTGGAGGGTGTATCATCCATGTCAGTCACCAACACGTAACAAGAAGGATACCTCATTTTCACACCACCTGTTGATATATAAATTAAGATATAGATAACAAAATATGGTAGTACAGCAAACAAACAACATAGCAATGGAGCAAGAAACAAAAATTACTTACCCACTATCACCTCAACAGCCTGTGGCGTTGAAGAATCATCACAGTTTGAACTTCTGCTATCTATAGGGTAAAATTGTTTCCAGTCTTCTAAAAGACGAGATGTTCTCTGATCAACAGCCTTAAATGACTGGCCACTCAGAGTGCCCGCCAGACCAAAAGGAGCTAAAATGACTGCAAAGCAAAATTAGGGCAATCAGTATTAAAATTTAGAGAGAAAGAACAAGGGATAAAAATTTAAGTGCATTTCTCTCTTTAAAATGTAGAAGTTGCTACTGCCCAAGAGGTGACCTACCTGGAACACCGGCCTGGGAAGACTGGGCCTGTTGGAGGACTTGCGATGAAAGTGTTCGAACAGGGGGATGCTGTCGCACATCAACACTTGCACACACTGTGCTTTCCCCATGAACAAAGAATGAAAATAGGAAAGAAAGATGTGGACTGAAATTCCAAAGCAAAAATAAAAAATTATGATTAGTGTTCAAATGCCCTGCTTTTCACTTTCTACTTTCATAATGCGAAGTATAAATACCTCTTTCCTTCAACTTCTTCGGTCCCTTCGTAAGGAAGTACAAACCAGCGGCCTAAGCGAATAAGGTCGCGTGAAAGAAGACATCTACAAAGAAAAGCATTTAAATTTAGCGTCTGAACAAATTGTAATACTTCACCAAATAAATAAGAACAGACTGGAAACTCACCTTTCAATTAAATTATGGAGGGCTTTAAATAATAATGATCTGCACTCATACGAGAGACCACTCTCCCAGGACCCCTGCTCGCTCTCTGTAATCAGAACAATCAAAATTTAAGTTAAGAGATTTTCCTCATTTGAAAACATGACAAATAGAAAAGAAATACCGACGGAAAAAACGTCATTTAGTCGCTTAGAAACCCAACACAATTGCTAGAAGTGACTGATTACCTACCCTCCCAACCCCCACACATCCACACCTGTTGGTCAGCATTAAGTGACTTGCCGGCCCCCACACCCCCTGCCGGGCCGAGCGCGACTAGAGCCAAAGATCCTCCAGGCGGCAGAGGGCAAGAGGGTGGCTCGTCCCTCTAGAGCTCGCGCCAGCTACTTGTCCTGCCCACGCGAGCAACTGCGTAGGGCGGCAACAAATTCGTTTAGAGACAGTATTTCCTCTAATGTCCTCCGCTTGGCGCGAGCGTCCTCGTCCTCGTCCTCCCTCCACCCCCGCCCGCCCGCCCGCAGGCGCGATGCCCGCCCGCGCAACACCAGAGCACGGCGGGCGGCCCACCCAGTGGCGTCTTCTGAGAGCGAGGGCTCCTCTCTGAGGTGAGGGGTTGTACAATGAGTATTTCAGTGGAAGGGACTCGTCTCGGGCCCCCAGCTCGTTCCGGCTAAACCTGAGGGGCCCGACGCCGTCACTCTCTGCGACCCCCCCGTCCACCGCCATGCCGCTCACGCTCCTCCTCCTGGTCTTCCCCATCCCCGCGGGTCACCTTCAACCCCCCAAGATCCGGCCACTTATCGCGCGCAAGGCGGCGGCGGCGGTGTCCTTCAATTGTCCACGTTTTGCGCCCATCGATGGCCTGGGGGGAAAAGAGGAAAGGGTGGAAAGGGGGCGGGGGGCATCGAGCGAGGGTGGGTGGGGCTTGCCGTAGGAAGGGAGGTGCCTGTCCAGTAGCCGGGCGCCATGCGCCATCGCGGCTAGAGGGAAAGAGAGCGAGTTGGTGAGGGTTGTGAGGGTGAAGACGAGGGGAGGTGGAGGGCGTCCTCGCGCCGGGCGTGGAGACACCGCACCGCCGCGTGCAAGGACACGGGCATGGGCGGAAGAGTGAGACAGACATACGATAGGAAAGGGTGGGTGGAGTGAGCGAGAGACAGTGTGTGGGAGACGATGGGGGAGGGGGGCGGGTAAGCGCGCGTCACACACAATCGATTCGCGAAAAGGCAAGGCTCCGCTCTGGCAGCGGCACGTCACGCGCGAGAGGGCGCCGCCCGTACCGAGCCGCTCGCTCGCTAACCACACATCCTCTCCCATCGCTCTCGCTCGCTCACCTCCAGCTATTGATTTTTTCTTCACTCCGCGTTGTCTTGTTAAACTTTTTATCCCTCCGAAAGGCGTCGGTGGCGGCGAGAGCAGAAGGGAGATGCCGGAGCAGCGGCAGGGTGGAACAGCCGCGGGAGGGATAGGGGGTGAATGCGTGAGAGAGAAAGACGAGCGCGGGTACCCCCTCCCCTCCCATCCATACTTCACTGACGCACACAACCCTTTCTCCATCCAGCAGCAGCCCCAGCAGCCCCCCCCCCTTTATTCCTCCCGGCCAGCCGAGGCACGATGAAAGGCGCCCGGGCCTGGGAGAGCCGCATCATGTGCACGCAGAGAACGGCGGGGGCGAATAGATTGGGTGTCGATGATGTCTCAAGGCGGTAGATGGGGGTGGATAGGTCCCCTCCCCTCCCTCTCCTTCCCCCCGCGGCGGCCTCGGCCTCTGCCCCACATACCGGGTTAACCCCTCTCTCCCCTCCCCCTTCATGGACGCTACCAATCTCCGGCTCCATAGCGAGGGCGGTGGTGGCGAGCGGCAGGCAGCACATAGCGCCCGCGCCGCCGCCCGCCGCCGCGCAAAGTGGGTTACATCCGAGCTGCCCCCCCAAAATGGAGCAGCGGCGAAATAGGTGCCCCCCCACCCCTTTTGCCCCCTCGGTGCTAGAGCTGGCCGAACAACGAGCCAGCCGCCAACGTGTTGCCCCGGCACGCAGCGCCACCGGCACCACCGGCGCCCGTTGGTATGACCAGGTCGATAAGGCAAAGGAGGGCACCCGCCGCGCGCCGCCGCACCCCGCCCCCGCCACGCCCCCTCCCCGGAGAAAGGGCGGAAGCTGCTGCTGCTACTGGCCAATATGGCTCAGCGCGTGCAAGAGGCGGACCTACCGCGTACTTCCGCGGGGCAAAGGCCCGGGGGGCCCGACCGGGGAAGTGTGCCGGCCGGCTGCAGGCCCTCCCCGCGGTGGACCAACGCGCCGACATTTTGGCAGAGACTCGAACGATACCGTTTTGGCCGAGGAGGGTAAAGGGCTGAGGAAGGGGCGGAGCGTGGCGGGGCGGGGAGGGGCGGGGCAGGTGCCGATCTGGCAAACAACTGTATGTAGCACGTTGCCCTGCAGCGCCTCCCCTCCCCTTTCCCCCCACACGGGGCGCTGCGGGTGCGGGGGTGAGAAACTCGTATGGTGTGGAAGAGAGGGTGCTCTCCACCTCGCCCTGGGCCCGGGCCTGGGCCGCGCAGCCGGCGGCGGGGTGGGGCCGGCGGGGCGGTGTGTTGTATTGATTCCACCCGCTTGGCCACGACACCGCGCGCGCGCCCCGCCGCTCGCCGCGGTGCAGAGGGCGAAGGGAAGGGGACAAGGACGCGAGGACGCGCCAAAACGGAGCTGCGAGCGGCGGAGGCGCCGGGCCCCTCTGGCTCAATTAATAGCCCCCCCCCCCTCTCCCAATCCCCGGCCGCCGAAGGCGCTCGCCCCCTCCCATCCTGGAGTGGTGGAAAGACATCGTGTCACGACGGGGCTCCCCGCACCGGCGCGCGCTCCTCACGCCCGCCGGCTCCCGTTCCGCGCCCATTTCAAACTTGGCGGCGCCGCGGCAGACGTCACCCACCGCGCGGAGTGGAGCGCCGAGCCCCGCCCCCCTCCCCACAGCGGGCTGCGCGAGCTGCGCGGGGCCCGTAGCGCGCATGCGCACGGCGGCCCTTACGGCATTGCCATGCCGACACAACACGGCCGCACTTCGGACGCGGCCGCCCAGAGCAGTGTGCCGGGCCGGGCGGGCGCGGCGTTGCCAGGTCTCCCCCGCCCCGCCGCTCCACCCGCGGCATACCGCACCGTGCTACGCCTTGCCGGCACCGCCCCGCTCCTCCCCTGTCACCGGGAGGACCGCGGAGCGCGGCGGCGGGGGGCGTAGCGGGGCGTAGCGGGGCGTAGCGGGGCGGGCCAAGGATAACAACGGGACGCCTCTTCATAGACGCGGGGCCGCCCGCCGGGCCGCGGCGCGTGGCGCGTGGCGGTCCTGGACACACAATGTGGTCCGGCCTGAGGCACAGCTGGACTCATGGTCCGCTTGTCCAGGGGGTCGGCTCCAGGGACGTCAAGAGTAACTCGGCAGCGGCCGCGGGAACACCCTCGCCCGGGGCCCGTATGCAACCCCCAGCCGGCTGCACCCTTTGCACCGCATTGCAGCACTGCAGCACTGCCGCCGGGGCGGGCCGGGCAGGGCCGGGGTGAACGCCCTCGCGCGCCCAGCGCCGCCGCCGCCGCCGCCGGCTGGTGCCTGGACCCCGCGCCGCCCTGCGCCCCGTTAGAGGAGAGGGGCACTTCTGCTCTGGAGCGCGGCTGGCGCCCCCCCCCCCATTGTGCGGGCGTGCAGCAGGGGTTATCGCCCGGCCGCCGCCGTGGCAGAGAGCCGAGCGCGCCCTCCTGGACCTCGCGTGGGCGCGCAAGGTGCAGGGCAGGTGGGGCGAGCTGTCAGCAGGGTTCAATATCTCTCTCTCTCGCACTCACAGAAACTCTGCTCTGAGCGGCGAGGGGCGAGGCGTCTCTCGCACCTGAACGGGAACGAGACCAAATGGAACGCGGACCACGGATTACACCCTTCTGAACCGGAAAAAAATAAAAATAAAAGACGAGTTCCGCCTCTTCCATGAGAGCGGGCTCGAGCCACACACCGGAAGTGCACGGGGAGTGCTGGGCTGGACTGGTAGGTAGGCAGCCGACCACCAACCCTTTGAGCGGGCCCGCGGCCAGGCGGGATCAGTGAACATGGGGGCATCCGGAGGGACCGCAGCTAAGCCAGCTAAGCCACGCCACGCCACTGCAAGCACAACGGCCGGTGGTGCCGACGGCGGTGGCGGGGTGGGGCGGGGCGCGGCGGGCACTGACCGTCAGCCGCCCGGGCGCGGCCGGCGCGGCGTGGCGGGGGGTGGCGCTCCTTTACGTTAGGTACCGAGCGGCTCGAGCGGGTTCAGCGACCGCGTCTCCTCTCTCGTTGCGCGCCTTGACGGCGACGCCTCTCTCGTGGTGGTGTTGAACGCGGTACTCACCGGTGTTCAGCAGGTCGGGGACCACGAGGCTGGAGAGGTCGGGCTCCTCGCCGTACCAGAAGATCCACAGCTCCTTGGCGGCGTGCAGGGCGAGGGGCGGGTGCACCACGATGGAGGGCGCCACCGGGGGCGGCGGCGCGCCGAGGGGCGCGTCCAGCAGCGCCGAGTCATCGGGCGGCGGAGGGCGGCGGCCCACGCGACGCCACACGCACAGGATGTCCGCGTGCAGGCAGCGCGAGAAGCTCAGCAGCACCGGGTCCAGCACCACCTCGGGCGCGGGCGCGGCGGGCGCCGCCTCCGGCCACACCAACTTACGCCATTTTATGCCGCATAGGTCGGTCTGGAAAGAGAAAAACAAGTTGTTAGGATTCCTATATCTCCAAATGGCAGGTGG